ACGGTGTGTCGAGGCTGAGAGACCTCGGAGGAGACAGAGGCAGGGAGGCGTACAGACCGCGATGAGAACCTGGGAGCGAAGAGATTCAGTCTCAAAGAAATGGAAAGCTAAGGACTTGCCCCCCCCCCCCCCCCCCCCCCCCCGCTCCTGTCCTCCTTTCATATTGAACCCCCCCTGACCCGACTTGTGCCCACAATCCGACCCCCCCCCGTTCCTCTCCTCCTCTCATATCGAACCCTTAGCCCGACTTATGCTCACAATCCGGTCCCCCTCCCGTTCCTTACCCAATCCCCCTGACCCGAATTATGTCCATCTCTCGATCAGATGGGGGAATTGAAGCCCCCGTCAGGGCTTCAGGCGCAGCCTGCCCCTGGGCTCGAGACTAGAGGGGTTTCCAGGCAGGTTCGGGCGTTCGGGAGGGGGGCAGCGGGGTACGGGATCGCCGCAGCGTCAACGGCGGGTGTGTTTGGTGTGTTCGTCGGCATGGTGAACGCGGGGACCTGCGGCTGCGAGCGTTTGAGAGGGTACGTATGCACACGAGGGACTGCTGGTTTTTTTTTTTCGCTTGTACATGGCGTCCAAACAACTGAAATTTTATAACAATACCGGGAAAAAAAGACACCCAACCACATGTATCCTCTCCTGTGCTGTTTCGTTTCGTTTTGTTTGTGCTCCTATTTAGTAGCGTTTGTTTACAGGGCGCCACACCCCTGCAATGTAACCACAATTTCCGGAATGCAGAACCTTGAGTTTGGTTGCGTACTACTACTGCTGCCGATACGTTTTGAGACGCTCTGTTCCGTTACATTGGCTGGAGTGCTTTTTGGACGGAGGGGTAAAATGTGGTCATTACCGTTTCGCCCGGGCTATGATACGGTGGGCGTTTTTCCTGTTTCCTCGTGCTCCTGGTGTTCTCCCTTCCCCTGGCCGACTGGATACGTTAAGGTCATTTGTTCATCAGATATCCCCAGATCTACCCTTGAGTGTATCGACTATTTCGTTCGTGCGCGTCTCGGTCTGTTCGTAGAACATGAAACCGTCACCTGTGTACATATACACGCCAATATTATTGCGTCCCCAAGACCCAACTTTAAGAAATACCAAAAAACAAAAACAATACACTTCCAACCTGTATTGTTCGGGCTCGAAGGTTGTTGTTGTTGTTGTTGTTGTTGTTTTCTTCACACTACAAACCGTTCCGTTCTCCGCTTAGTGCCCTTTAATGTCCGTACTATAATAGTCCTACTGACACGGACGCTTAAGATTAAGAATCAACGGCCAAATGCGCTCACGGGTGGGGTTGAGACGTATGCATGTAACTTGGTATGTTTTTTTCCCTTGACGTATTATTCGCCCTCTTTCTCCGTGGCAGAAAGAAGGACTGGTTCAACAACGCCTTCGGCGGAGCGGCGGCAGGGTTGAGCGTCGCGCTCCTCTCGAGACATACCCGCACGCCGCAAATGCTGGCGGCCCATGTGGCAGGGGCAGCCGCGATAACGTCCGTGGTTGCTAAATATCAAAACTGGTTCGCCAATCGGTAGTTGAAGACACTAGTGCCGATTCGAAGCCTCGTTTCTTGTCGTGTTGTCGATACAGGCTTTTCTTTGCGTAGAAAGTATACATTACAACACAGAAACACTTCTTATCCGTTCGAGATAGAACAATAGTCGAAAGGGATGCGCTGAACAGTTTTCAGTGAGTGGGTTTTTTGTCCCTCCGACGACGGTGCTTCTATTGTTCTTTCTTTTCCTCTTTTTGGGTTACTTGTGGTATTTTTGCGTCTTGATATCTTGCTGCATTCCTATTTTTTTTTTGCGGTAGCCCTGGTCTGTTCCTTTCCGTGCCTCCTTTTTTACTGAGACGACGGTCTTGCGACCCATGGAGCGGGAAGAAGTGAGGGAGGGTGAATTGTTGTAGTTTGGAGCTCCGCATCCTCGATCCTCTCAATTTGGGACCCGACAATATTATTTATTGTCACGTCCCGGGAGTTTAAATATCTGCGTATGAGAACCTCCAGGGCGGGCTAGCGCTACGGGATTTGGGTGCAGACGTATCAACGGTATATCGGGTAAATACCCGCACATAGAAGGTGCGGGAGAGGTAACTCCCGGTTGAAGGATAAACCAGGGGACAGCACCTTTCAAACCCCTCTTGAGGGACTGGATTCCCTGCCCCGTTTTTCCTACCTGATAGCAAGGCACAGAAAGAACTGCTGTTCCACAAGAGTCACTACCAAGTGGGCCCAAAATCATCACGGGTCTTCCAGAATGTACAGCGGGGTGGCAATCATCCCGAACTTCGAATGGCGTAGCGGACAAAGCGAACCCGTGAAATCACGCACAGAAGATTGTCAAGAATATTGAACTTGACTCGCCGCCAGCCGATCGGGGTTCGGTTACCCCCAGAGGTCTCCTTGCCTCGCAACCAAGAAGACTCCAAAAGGCGGGGGGGGGTAATGTGGAGACCCCCTTCATCTAGGGTGTAATCTCCCCAACGTGTTCCGAGGACGATTGATGCTCTCTTTAAACGCTCTTTGAACGCTGGTGCCGTTTCGCCTACAAGGGCGACCGATCGCGACGAACTACGGAGCGACGGCGACGCGATGGACAGTTGCGGACAAACCCAATCCAACCCAACTCGAACCCAACCCCCAACCGAACCGAAACCGGAACCGAACCGAAAATCCAACACCAACACATTTCAACACAACCAAACCTTCGGCCTGACCCAACCGAAACACTGCAAGATTTCTACTGTAGTCGATAATATGCGTGAAACATAGGCAACAAGCACAACAAACAGCAGTATGACATCTACGTGTGTTTGACGAGGGCCGCCGGCGCCGGAGGAGGTGGCGCCAACGGACGGTCGACGGTGATGTCCTGGTCCCGCCGGGGGATGTCCGTGCAACCACTTGCAGCCAGTATAGGCAGGAGACCCACAGGAGCCTCTCCTGTTTGAAAAAAGCGCGTCAATATGTCACCCTCCGCCGCCTGATCCGGCACCGGCTTTTCCGCCACATCGCTGAGGACAGGGAGTGCCTCCTACCCTCGAGAGGCGGCCGTAAGGCCGGGTCGACGTCGCGGTCATTCCATTTACGTGCCTGTGATGTCGACGTGGTCAGTCGCGGATTTCGCCAATGACGCCATTACCGAGGGAGTCAACCAGACGCCACCGACCGTCGGGGCTCTCTAACCCCCGAAGAGGAGGAGCAGTCACGAAGGCAGGGGCGCGCTATTGAGCCATGATGAATAGAAGTACGTTTGTGCTCCGGGCGCGATAGGTCTAACGTAGGATTCCCACGTTAAATAAAACGCCTCGAAACTCAGGCGCCCACAACCGGCGACTCCGCTGCCGCCGATCGGTGCGAGAAGGAACTCTCGGCCGTACCCAAACGGCCAGAAGCGCAAGCGTAGAGATTGGCCGTCGTACACGGAGTCGCCAGCCTAAAGGGGTTGTGCCTGACCCGGGGTCATTTTCACGTCGCACGGGCCGGTCCCGGAAGAAGTGCGGTCGGCGCTCGAGCTTAAGAACCTCAAGCCCTCTAGTTTCAGCCGAGGCTGGGGTTCTTACAGTAGTTCCGAGGGTAAGGCTACGAATAGCCGCAATAGAGGTTGTAGTGTACGGGTTTCTTTAACCGAGCTCCCAAACGGCAAGCAAGTTCTTAGCTTTTCGCAACCTCCGAGGCTCTGTATCTGCCGTACGTATCACCCCGCGGTGGGGTGACCGGCATGTCCACCTGCAGGGAGAAGTAGAGAGAAAGAAGCGTGCGAAACGGAGCCGTGCACGGAGATGTGCAACACAGGCTAACAACGCAGTGAGGCGGGGACGGCGCGAAGAACCTCGCAGGGAGCGAGACACGTATACTTTTATGTACGAAAAAATCCCAACGGAGTCGTCGATGTACGCACGTGAACAACTATAATTTTCCTGCGTTCGCAAGCACCCGGAAGAAGGAAGCAAACAAAGAAAAACTATACATAAAACGACCAAGCACACAGCATGTGAGGCGAAAGAGTGTGTAGCATTATGTACGAGACGGGTGGGTGTCGTGTGACCACCTGCGGAGGGTTGGCGTGGGATTGCCTAGAGGTTGTTGCTCCTGGCCCACCTCGGTCGTTGATGCAGTCTCCTTTGTCCGGTGTCGACGCGGACAACGGCCAGCAGTTTGAATTCGTTGAGCGGCAAGGACTAAGCCTTGAGTGCACGATAGGTTGGATAGGATCGAACTGGCTGAGTGCGACAGGCGCTACTTCTACTTGCGTTCGTTTGCGCCGAAAGATTTGTGTAGCCGTATGTTTGAAACACCCGCGTGTTGGTTCCGGAAATTATTGCGACGCCATCCAAATGGAGGGATGGATTTTGGTACCGCCTAATAAGGAAGATACATCTAGGCGGGTTGGAACTTCCAGCATGGTGGTTTGCTGCTCTGTTGTACATAGATGCTCTAATCGTGGAGGGCGGATCTTGGCGTTGGCTTCAAAATATCTGTGAGGCCCTAACTTCGTGGAGAGATCCTCATATTTTTCTCCTGCGCGTAATCCTCCTGTGGAGATTACTACATAAATCAATCTTCTACAGCCCGTCTCCTAGACCACCAGTATTTCTGGTGAGCTGGGAGGAATCCTCGACTGCTACATGTAGGACATGTGGCACTGGCGTATTCTGATGTGCGATCATGTGTGCGAGGCAGCCGAATGCGGCGAGATTTCACGGCATAGGGGGGGCCCAAACTGCCATCCATGTGACCCCTTCAAAGAGTCCAAAAATAAAAAAATAGCGCCAACCTCCCTCTTGCCAACACTAGCTGGCTCGGTGCTCTCTCCAGCTCTCCAGGTGCTAGGGCTGACGGAGCGGTGAGTTTCCGCTGGATTGGTACCACTGCTTGAGCTTTTACTCTTCACCCTCAGCTCTGCTGGTAGCTATTCTTCAGGCGGCATAACATCTCTTGTCTGTTGGTGACCGTTTGGGCAGAGGGGCGGCCAAACGTAGAAGGAGTATCGTAGGCTTTCTGTGCGTGTAATTATTTTCCCTTAATTTTAGTACTTTGAGACCATGTGCACCAATCAGCCCGGTGCTGATGTTCCTCCTGCTGTGCTTGCTAGTGTGCTTGCGTGCTTGCTGTTGCAGGTAGGCAAGCCTGGCTGCCGTAGTACTTAACCCGCGGGAGGAGAGTGGTTGGCACTGTTGGTGTATTTTGCTCGCGGTCGCTTGTGTTGTTGCGAAGCTATTGTCAGTCGGGGCGCAGCAGCATACCGCAGGTGTCATCACATAAGATACCACACTTACCACACCGCCTGGACCGATTCCAAAGCTCGATCACTCCACGACGAAGAGGATGCCATAATCAAATGGTAAATGCTCGGAAGACCTCGATGAGACGGTTCCAACGCCGCCATTCTCGGCGCAGTCGCTTCTGTTGCTGCAGAGCAATCGAGCTTTGAAAATCGGTCCAGGGGGTGTAGTATCTTACGCAACGATGGACTCTGTGAGCAACTCCGTATGCTACTTCTTCGCTGCACATCATGCTTGCTGTAAATCATGTTTGCTGTATCTCCTTATTGCGCCATTCGGGCGTCAATGAAGCCCCGCAATGCATCGAAAATGTGCGTGCTTGCTACTCTGAGTTTTTACTCTGCTGTGTAGAATGCAATGTAGCGAAGGCAAGAGCTGTACAACCCAACTGCCAATATCGCTCGCGGTCTTCCTCTTCTACTGCATAACTCTGGCTTCTCTGGCAGAAAAGAGCTCCGACCCGAGATTCACGCGGGTGAATCCCATTGCAATACTGCCTTACATGTGTTGTTCTTGTACAAGTAGCCCCCGCACAAAGAACATGATTACTTCAATACATAAGAAGTTGAGCACCATTTGTGAGCCCGGGCAAGAACCAGTAGACTAAACCTATGCAGCGGCCGTTTGTAGCCCACAAGAGGAATTAAGAACGCCAACTTCGTCCAAAACTAGAGGTTATTGAGTGCGGGCGCTATCTGTAGTGGATTGGACACACGGAGTCGAGAGTGACACGTGTATACAGCAGTACCACAGGTGCCGAGACGCACGCCCTGCCTCACACACCTCTTGTATGCGTGCAATGCTTCTTTGTGAGCAGACTCATAAAGGTCGGACGCGGCGAGGCTTGCAGCAGCGGGGCCAGCAGCAGCGGCAGCAGGTGGGACAAGAGGCAGCAGCAGCAACAACGAGAACAGCAGCAGCAGTGAGACCTGCAGCAGCAGCAGCGGCAGCAGCAGCAGCAGCCGCGAACAACAACAACAGCGGCAAGCAGGCTGTACCACCACCACCGCTCGAAGAGAGAAGGGAAAGAACGCCAGCCACATGGGAGTCCCAAAGTTTTACAGATGGATATCGGAGCGCTACCCGAAGATCAACCAGATCGTCTCGGACTCTACCCTTCTCCCGGAGTTCGACAACCTCTACCTAGACATGAACGGGATCCTGCACACGTGCACGCATCCTAATGATGACGGGCTCAGCGCTCAGGTGGGTCTGATCTGATTTGTGAACTATGCTAAATATAATAGCGGGTTATCTTGTTGCTTTTGAGATGTCCTCCCCAAAACCAAAAATTTTAAACATGCTTAAGAAGTACCTCGTATGCACACGTGGAATTGAATCCATACAACTAAATAAAATATACAAGGACACACCCTATTTCGTGCTGCTATTGAGTAATCCTTTGGGGCAGGCAGCTGTGGGCCTGATTTGGGGGCTCGCGTTTGATTGGTTGGATGTTTTTTTTTTTTTTTTTGGTAGGGGTACTCACTGAATGTTGCCTGTTGTAGCAGTTAGCCGTTGATGAAGGTTTGTTTTCGGGGCAGTTGGGTCAGGGTGGGGTGGAACTCGTTTCTATAGAAAGTCGTGGTAGTTTTAGTGTTTCTTCGAAAACAAGATCGATATATGTACATGTAGCATGAAAGTATTCAGAATATAAAACCAAATATACTGGCAGCAAGTGTTTGTCTTGGAATGCCGTATTGTGGCAATGTGTATATCTGAATTTTGTTTTTTTTCCCCAAGACGATTGCAAGAATTTCGTCGTTTTTCAGACGAAACGAGGGGGAGGTTGCAGCAGCAACACACCATGAATCCAACAAGTCTACGGCCGTATTCCTGGAAAAATGATGCTGTAATGCGGAGCACGTTTATTTTACCTACCAAAACGCGATAACAACTAAGGCAAGGTACTACTAATAGGAGTATTATAATACAAAACAAAAAAATGAAAAAATTCCTGTGTGACCTTCGTCATGTGTGACCCCCGGTTGATACGTCCGGTATATACGCCGAAAGGCCTGTAAACCGGCTCCAGAATAGATAAGGCGAACACACACACGCGCGCGTCTCTCTCGCGCTCTCGATGTCCTATGTTCTTACCCAATGCCAAGAGAGAACAAAAGCTCCACCGCACTGAGCACGTTGCTCGGATCTGTCGCGTTCTCGATGCACTCTCCACGCCCGTGCGTACAACGAAAACACAGCTGAGCGAGAGAGACATCATCCTGGGAATCTTCCACTACATCGACCGCATCGTGACGCACATCGTCCGCCCGAGGAGGGTGCTGTACATGGCCATCGACGGCGTCGCCCCTCGAGCGAAGATGAACCAGCAGCGGTCGCGCCGCTTCCGCGCCAGGAAGGACATGCAGGAGGCCAAGCTCATCGCGGAGTCAAAGGTCTGTGCAAGCGGCGACCCAAGGAGGCGGGGAGGTATTTCCGTTGGGCGGGGGGTTGTACTGTCATGTTATGCTTGCCTTAGCGGGTAGACCACGCGTCCTCGAGAGGACGGAGCATTGTTCCCGCAGGACCGATCGCCTATGGCCAATCGTTCCTTCCTGCTTTGCCAAAGGTGGCTCAAGAATGTTTTCCCCTATGTAGCCTTTTATCCTACCGGTATCACTTCCTGCCTTTTAAGCCCACTTCCTATGCCCCAGGACAGCTCCCGTGTTCTCTGGGCTATTCAAAGCCCACTTCCTAGCCCTACGATAGCTACTGTCGGGGGGGGGGGGGGGGGCTTGTTGCGACTCGCCCAGAGTTTCGTGCTGCGGTGCCCCCCTTCCCCCCCTTTTTTCTTGCGGAAATGGATCAAAATCACCTTTATCCGTCTCTATCCGTAGTTTCGCGCCCAGAATTAAGCGATTAGTTCGTGTGTGAGAGCCCGCCTGTCTATTGTCGGAGAGGCATTCAGACAACCCCAGCAGAACCAGTTCGCTCATGAAACGATGGCTGCGTTCGCCGAGACTGGTGGGAAGTTTGCTTGCTACACACCACGCACGCCGTCGTCTCTTGTTGTTCCGATGTAGGCGTTTTGGACGTGTGTCTTTGCTCGCGTTAATGCCTTCGTGTTCATCTCTCGTCTTGTTTCTCTCCCTCCTCCTTGCCTCCGTCGCTCTCTGTACATCTCTCAATCTCCCTGCCTTTGCTTCAATCCCCTCGTCTCTCTATCGGTCTCTCTGACTCTCTCTCTCTCTCTGACTCTTTCTCTCTCGACCTGTCTTTCAGACTCTCATTCTCTCACTCTCTCTCACATTCTCTCTCTTTGTCTGTCTCTGTCTCTGTCTGTCTCTGTCTCTTTGTCCCTATCTATCTGTCTGTCTCTCTGTCTCTATCTTTCTCTCTCTATATATATATCCAGGGAGAGGTTGTGGACGATACGGCTGTCTTCGATAGCAACTGCATCACCCCCGGAACGGAGTTCATGGCCAAAATTTCCAGGCATCTCAGGTGCGGGGCGTGTGTGTGCGCACGGGGGGTGCATACTCATGCTTTTCACGCCTTCGTTGTTAGACCATTGACCACGCATCCTAGAGAAGACGGTGGGGAGGGAGTTCGTCTCGTCGCGCTTGTGTGTGTGTGGGGGGGGGGGGGATGCAAAAGGCATCATGTTAGGGGCGGCGGGGGAGGAGGGAATTCGTCTCGTCGCGGTTGTGGGGAC